AGTGTTTAAAGTGTCAGGTTGGGAGCTGAAGCAGGTCTGGGGGGCTGAGTCAGAAGGTAAATATAAATGGTCATTTGTGGAAGGAGGGGAGCTAAGGGTGGGACTTTTTAAATTTAATTTTTAAAATAAAAAAATTATTTTTAAATACTGAGTTTGTTCACAAGTATATTTTTGTCTCTCCACCAGTTCCAAGTCTGACCACAAAAGGTGAGGTTTTTCACTCCTTCCAGATGATTGGTCTCATTCACTACATTTAAATGTTCCTCATAGGATAATCTTCGTTTAGTAAGAAAAATAGCCAACATTTGACTGTTGCTGTTAATTGATGCTGCATATTCACTACCTTAGTCCCGATGACTGTCCTCTAGGGCAGATGAATCTTTCTTGGGGTATTTTCTTTTTTTTGTAATTAAGTAATCACAGCTGGAAAGTGTGGCCCCTGCATGTAAGCCCACATTCTGACCTCTGCTGTACCCACTGTCTTGCTGCAGTGTCTTGTTCCCATGCTCCCACCATCACTTGCACAAACATAGGCACGTTAGTGCAAATACAGGATGAACTGTTAGGACTTACTAGAGAAGATGTGCTTCTAATTGATGGCAAAGATGTGTAAATGGTGTCATCTGACACACTGAATGGTCTCTTGCTACGTATGGCCTAGAGGTGATGATTCAGATGTCGGAAAATGGAAGATTAGTCCTGAGATTTTTACCTCTCTTCTGTTAGTAAGAGTGGGTTAGCTTAGTTTTTCTCCTGTGTTGTTTCTGCTGGGTATTGCAGTTGGCATTGCTGCTAAAATGCTACCTCAGATCCTTTGCAGCAACAGCTGGAGCTCAGAGTGAGAACAGCCTTGCATGTTACTTAGCCCTGTGAAGTGGAGCTGAAGGAATGCTGGTTTTCCAGCTGCATTTTGGTTACTCTTGCTGTGTTGTGGCTGATGGTCTGGCTTTCAGTTCCTGGAAGATAGACGATTGCCTGCCTCTTCTGTAGAGACTGAAGTTGGTTGCTGCCCTAACCGGTATGACTAATGTGCATTTATTCCTTTATGTTGCCATGTCATCGTAACTACCAGCGAGGAAACCTTTTATAATGGGGTGCTCAGCACTTACATATTTTATATATATATATAAAAAAATTGCCTTATATTTTATGTTGAGTGTTTCCAGGTGGAGTTGACATACTCCACAGTCAACACCACATACCCACAGGCAAATTATGTAGTTAATATTTTGTTGCCTTTACTTTTTATTATGTATCTAACAAAGCTAATTAGACTTTTATGTGAAGTTGGAATAATTTCAGTAATCATATAGCTTTATCTCCCTGACTTGTAATTTTTTAAGATTCTGGGAATAAAACTATTTAGGAAAAATACGTTTTGATATTTTAAATGCCAGATCTTACAGTATGTTCTTTTTCTGATTTCTTAACTTTTTAATATCTAGAATCTTTTTACATTTATTTAAGGTTATACATTCCTTTCCAGATTTTACGTTAGTTTGTCCAGTTGATATGTTGTTCTTGTATGTCTAAATATGTCCTGATTTCCTTTGATTTATTTTTTGACCCAAGGGTCTTCTTAAAGACAAGTGTTTTAAGTTGCCACAGTTGTTTCTTTGTGGCTTTGTGGTACTGTTTCTATTTTTATTCTATTGTTTTTTAAGTGTTCCAAAACTTTGTTTTAAGTATGTGTATGTGCTTGATAAGAACATGTTTTTTCTAATTGTTGGTTCCAAGGCTCTCTTTTAGGGCCATTAAATCGAGTTTGTTAAATGTGCTTGCATCTTATAAGATTACTAATTCTCTGTCTGTTTAATGATAAAATGGTGGATGTATTTTTTTTTTAAAGTTATTTAAAAATCTTTTGGTGAATTGTATACAACATAAAACTTACCATCTTAATCCATTTTTCAGTGTGCAGGTCAGTGGCATTAAGTTCATTCCCATTATTGTGCAACCATCACCGCCGTCCAGAACTTTTTCATCATACCAAATCTAAACTGTACACACATTAAACAACAACACCCCCCAACCCTCAGCCACAGCCCCTGGCAGTCGAGATGCATCCTTTTTATCTTGTAATTCTGTCTTTGCTTTTGATTTTTTTGAGTCTCTGTTATGTTCAGAATTCCATTATTTTCTCCTTGTGAAGTAATTCCTCCTGATAGTGCCGGTATTCAGGGGTGTCCTTTCTGAGAGTGATTGTGCTGCGTGAGCATCCTCAGTGTTTTGCATTGTGCATCTTTCCTGTCCCATGAGGTTGAGGCTTTTTCTTTTTGTTGTTTCAAAGTACCAGCTTTTAAAAAAATTCACTTTTAGAATGTCTTTAATTTTTATTTACAGTTGTTGTGTTTCTTGAAGTATTTGGGTTAAATGAGCTAAATTTTGTGTAGAACTTAGAATTGTGCCTGGCTATAAGTGTTTGGTAAATTAAAAAAAATTTCATATTTTATGCATCTTCAGAATTCCCTAGCTCCCTTGGTGCCCCCCCTTCTGTTGTGAAGGTTATGTTTTGTTTTTTTCTACTAGTGCTTATCCTTACATTGATTGATTGATTCATTCATTCAGCATGTGGGCTCTACCTCTTGCCTCCCAAAATAATCGTTTGTATGTGGCTCTACATGCCTCCCAGATAACGAAAGGACCTTAGAATAAGTTGACCTTGTTCTTTGTTTTACTGCTTCTGGAGTGTTAGTAGCCAATTTTGATATCACCTCTGTTTTCTCCTTGATCTTGGCTTTCTGGTTTTCTTTAGATTTATTAGATCACAGACACTCTTTAGCCCTATTTAATGTGTTATTAAATTCCAGTGGCTGTATGAATAATGTTGTTGTTACCTTTTTGGGTCATTAGCAAACCAGCAGATTGACACACAAATGTTTCCATTCTTTTTACTTATCTTGATTCTTTTATTCATACTTTATTATGTCCCCTTTGTAGTTATTCCACATTTTTGCACTCATCCTGGATGCTTTCCTTGTATTTAGAATTTGATTGTGATCTCATCTTTGCAGACATGGTGTATTCTGTGGGACTCTTTCTGATTTGGGTTGTAGAGATCCTTACTTCTGGGTTAGCGTTTGAAGGTAGTGGGTAAGATTTCTTCTGCATGTTGGAGGCTTTTAGGGCTCCGTGTTCTCAGGAGTGTCTCTCTCTCTTTTCCTCTTCCCTGCAGTTCAGGGGGAAGTTATTTTCTTGTTCCCCCCTTCTTGGAATGACAGCCCTTTGAGGAACCACTATTTATGTAGAGATGTTGGTGGTAACCGCTGGTTTTCCTGTGCCTGAAAAGCAGTTCTTGGCTCAGAAATCCCAAATCCTGCTCCATCAACGCACAGACTTCATCTCATGCTTGCTTGTAATTCCCTGGTTGTTTCTGGAACCTGAGATCTTTCTCTTGTTCCTGGGATCTGAGTTGTCTCCTTAAATTTGCTATATTTTATCTAACATTTCTAGGTTTTTGTGGTAAGAGGGGGTTCTCTGTTAGAATATCTTGGGATATTTTTGAGTTATTTATTTCTTTGAATCTCTGGACTGTTAACAGCAAATTTCGTCAGTGTAAGCTTCTATATAGAGTTTCTTCATAAACGTTTAATGAGGTTGCACTGGCAGATGTGTACACACACACACATGCTGAGTCATGGTGTAAAAAATAGATTTATTTATTTATTTTTTGCTCCCTAAAGTTGGAAAGTAGAAATAGAATAAAACTGTACATCTTGGTGTTTTGTTTTTTTTTTTTGGTAGCTGGTCAGTACAGTGATAGAACTCTGGACCTTGGTGTTAGCACCACACTCTAACCAGCTAAGCCCTGTCTTGTTTTAAGAACTGAAATAACTCATAGTTGAGGCACTATTTAACCTTGACATTGTTCGATATCAACAACATGGTCTTAGGAAATTTTTGATTTTATGTATTCATTTACAATCAATATTTCTTTTGGAATTATCTGAAACTATGGTTCTGAGAAGGCAGTTGAAAGCCTAGCTTTAGTTTTGGGCAAAGTTGCTTGATAGAATAACTTGCTTTATTAGATAGTTACTTTGCACTCGTGCATGGAGTAGACCTGTTTTATGCAGTTTCTTGATCATTGGTTTTATTAAACGATTTAGCCAGTAAATTGGTTAGGAAATTTCACATCTTAAAGAAGCAGCATATGTGTAGTTTCTTTTTGTTTTGGGGACCAGAGGCTGCATCCCCTATTAGGTGGTGAAGACTGAATTTTCACTGTACTGCCCTGTGAAGTAACAGGAGAACAAAGTAACCCATAGGCAAAGCATATCTCTGCTGCTTAACTTGTATAACTGGCATAGTCTGTAGTGCTGACGTCTAGTTAGTATTGACAACAGGACAGTACTGTATTTGTTTGGTAGATGGCTGGATGGGAGTTGGAAGCAGAGAGGGTAAAGTTACTCTAACAGCTCTCTAGTTAGAGACGTTTCCTTTTTCTGTCCCCTGGGATATGTGGGCGGGCTTTGGTTCCTTAGTGAGAGTGACAGAACAAACAGTATGTGTAAGGATGTCTTTCTGTTGTCCCCATGTGAAGTTTCTTGAGGGCAGGGACAGTGTGTTTGTACTCGGAACCCCCATCTTGACCCGTGCCTGGCGCAGGGATGCACTGGAGGAAGGAGGTAACTGAAGCTCACCGGTCGCAGTCTGTGTCTGGGAAAACAAGACATTCACAGTGAGTCTGTCAGCTAGCAGTTAGGTGGTCACCGAGTCTCTGCCCCAGTGTCACCTGTTGGTTTTATTTAGTTTAGGCTATTATTAGGTTATTTCCAGAGCTTTTCCCCTATATCTAGAATGGTCGTAGGGCATGAGTCTTGGAACCAATTCCCAGACCAGGTCCTGGCCTGACGGGCTAGTGGTCAGCTTAACAGAAGTTCTCTGTAGGCCAGTAGGTGCTGAGGTGACACACCTTCTCCCACTGCTGCCTGGTTCCCATCTAAATGACCTACCCAACCTTGGCAATCTTGTTATTGACCACAGCTTTTTAATTGCAGGATTTGTCCCAACAATCTATTAAAACATGGTGGATTACTATGAAGTTTTAGGCCTGCAGAGACATGCTTCACCTGAGGATATTAAAAAAGCGTAAGTAATTTTATTTCTGAAATAGTATGTCCGTGTAGTTGCGCATTGGTACTTGGGTAGCATAACTTTCTATTGACTATTAAAATGGCTTTTAATGTGTTATAACAGTCTTTGAATGCCACATAGTTAACAGATGAGCATTTGCAGTCTCAGACTTAGGTTTAGCCCTTCACTTGTCAGTTACTTCATTTACTTGATTACTTTGCCCTGGGACAGTGGATTCCGTATTTGCTTGAAGTAGATCAAGAATCTGCTGAGGATGTGAAATAATCCCAAAGAAGCTTTTACACTGGACTTTGACGTGGAGTTGACTTGGCACTCTTTTTTTTTTCTTTTCCTTTTTTTTTTTTTTTTTTTTTTTTCTTTTTTTTTTTTTTTTTCTTTTTTTTTTTTTTTTTCTTTTTTTTTTTTTTTTTCTTTTTTTTTTTTTTTTTCTTTTTTTTTTTTTTTTTCTTTTTTTTTTTTTTTTTCTTTTTTTTTTTTTTTTTCTTTTTTTTTTTTTTTTTCTTTTTTTTTTTTTTTTTCTTTTTTTTTTTTTTTTTCTTTTTTTTTTTTTTTTTCTTTTTTTTTTTTTTTTTAACTGACCGGCAACGGGATCGCAACCCTCGGTGTTGTGCCCGCACCTCGCTCAGCCAGTGAGCGGGAACGGGTCTCCACATGGGATCCGAACCCTCGGTGGGAGCGCCACTGCGCTACCAAGCAGTGCACTTTTCCAGTGCACCACCGGGCCGGCCCATGACTTGGCACTCTTATGTGCTGCTTTTCAAGGTGGGCCCAGAGTGTAGCATCCTAACTTCTATGGTGTGATTGCTGGACCCCAGCCTCTACCGCTAGAGTCCATTCTGATACACATGAAAGACTGAGAACTTCACCACCACTCTGTTGTACCTGCATCTTTGTGACCAGGGCTGCCTGGCTGATGTGAGGGGGGCAAGTCCCAGGTCATAGATGGCTGTCCATGTATAATCTGGATCTGTTTAACTTATTTAGGCATTTAACTATGAGCATAGAGTACACAGCGTAAGAGTCATTAAATTTTATAGATTTTTAGCGTAGCTAGAGAGGAATAAGCCTGGAATAATTGGAACCCACTTTTTTTTTATTGTTAATACATAACAGAGTTTATGCTGCTAGACTTAGGGGGTCTGCAGATGTAAATAAAGATTTTTTTTCCCCCTTTTTGTCTTTTTTTGTGACGGGTAACGGGATCGCAACCCTTGGTGTTGCGCCCGTACCGCGACCAGCAACGGGATCACAACCCTCGGTATCATGCCCGCACCGCGCTCAACCAGTGAGCGGACCGGTCTCTATATGGGATCAGAACCCTCGGCGGGAGCGCCGCCGCACTCCCAAGCACTGCACTCTACCGAGTGTGCCACTGGGCTGGCCCTAAAGATTTTTTTTTTTTGGAACCAAATAGTTCGTTTTAAACTACGAAGTTAGGGTGACTGCTGAGTTGGGTAAACATGAAGTAGCCCACAGATTATTTCTGTTCAAGCCTCAGCCAGAGACCAGGTCAGAGCAGCCCACTCCTCAGTGACAAGCACTGGTACTGTAGCCAGTGGGATGTGTTCCTGCCACTGTGTGCATGAGCCTGTGGTGCTTCAGGCCCCACACTTTTCTCACAAATAACGGTTCACAGCCAGTTAATACTTGGTAGACTGTAGAACAAAGAGACAGCTGGTAATACTCTACTGTTCTTGAATCAACTAATGAATAAACATAGTGTGCACATGATACTTCTTACCTGATAGAATTACATACCTTCATTATGCTAGAGGTAATTAGAGGAGGATTAGTTTTAATCTGTGAGAGCATATAGGTTGATCAGTGTCTCCAGCATGACATTGAAATATGAATTTAGAAAAGGCTATTTAAAAAGCAATGAGATTTTCTTTTTAAGTGCACAGTTGCATAAATACTGATTTTAAAAAAATGAGCAAAATGATAGCCAAGGGATGCATATTATTAGAACAGTCCATTGTGGAGACTCTTGGCTTTCTTGTGTGTAGTGACAACTTTTATTAGAGCACTAATGGTGTGGCCACCCCCTAACTCCCCACCTCTCCTGAGACACTCAGATCTTAACCTGTGTTTGAGGGCCATGGGCTTTCCCTTGGTGCCGAAGTGGATGCGTGCATGTCAAACGGGGCTGAAGGTCAGCATTATAACTTGTTTGCTATTTACACTTACTGTGTTAAAATTTGTATTATGCCTTGATTTTTAAAGTTTTTAGTAGTGTATGAGCTGGGGGCATGCACAATGATTGTTGTCCTGGATTTTTGAACAGTGCTTAGTTTTCACACAAACACTAGATGTTTGCTGCTAGTGCAGACTAAATGTTCTTTCTCTCTAGTCTTTCATGTATAGGTATGTCATTTGTTATTGAGGATTTGTAGCACTTTTAGAGGATTTGGTCTACTGCATGTTTAAGTCCCCAGTGATATAAAAATAAATTACTTTTAGGTATTCTAAATTCCAGCTTTAATCAGATTTTATGAAGTTAAGCCAAGGTTTTTGTTTAAAATATCATAGCTTAAGTTGAACCCCAATAGCCTTACAGTAATAACTTGCCATGTGTCAGAAGGACTTTCTGTTTTTATTCTAGTCTGAGATTTTCAGGGGCACACTGCCTTCCCCTTTTAAATACCACACTTCTTTAAAATAACTGCTTATGTTTGCTAATTAAACTCCAGGATTATTTTTTTGTATTTAAAAAGAATGCAGTTGTTACTATAACTGGGACCCTGGAACAGACTATACCTTAGTCGTAGAATCTTTGCAAAAGTCAGTGTTCTAACCCTGTTTAGATCTTGAATTCAGAACACAGGTGGCGGGCCGGCCCGGTGGCGCACTGCAGAGTGCGCCTCCTGGGAGCGTGGCGGCACTCCCGCCGAGGGTTCGGATCCCATGTGGAGACCGGTTCCTGCTCACTGGTTGAGCGCGGTGCGGGCGCGACACCGAGGGTTGTGATCCCGTTACCGGTCAGTAAAAAAAAGACAAAAAGGAAAAAAAAAAAAAAAGAACACAGGTGGCTATTTGAAAGATACCAAGATTTTGGTCTGTGCTGTGGCAGATGGCTCAAATTTTGCCACACCAATCTGCAAAGTAAATGGTCTGGCTGAGGAAATGTGGTCCTGGGGTCAGCATGTACAAGGATAAGGATGGTTCTGTTGGGTCCTTATTGCTCAGTGGCCAGAGCCTTTTCCTTCCTGTACTTTCTGGATTTGCTTAGCCTAACCACCACGAGTCTGTTTTATGGACACTTTGTCCTGGAACATTTGAACATTTCCTGTCTCTGGAGTTTGGTTTGTATTCTGCTATTTGGGTTTTAGAACTCGTTTATTTCATTTTGGGGGGAAGGCAGGTTTTACAATTAACAATTGGTAGTAATAGCACCAGGTGGCAGCTCTGAAGCCATTTCCTTGCTTTATTATGTTAGTTTCAAAAGCCCAGTTGATTTCCAGACTTTGGATGTGATCAGTACCTTTACTTTTTTCAAGGTACCGGAAGCTGGCACTGAAGTGGCACCCAGATAAAAATCCTGAGAATAAAGAAGAAGCAGAGAGGAAATTCAAGCAAGTTGCCGAGGCATATGAGGTGTTATCAGATGGTGAGTAGCTGGCCTTGGGTTGGGTTCTGAGGTGTGGGTCAGCATGGGGTGGGCTGAGGATCCTCCCCAGGCTAGCCAAGTATGGATACAAGTGATTCATTTTGTTCCGGGTGGATTTGGGGGCTGGGGAGAAAGTTTGCCATTTTTATTGTGAAGATCAAATTGATAAACTGTTTCTAGCAGTTTCTGGTAGGTTAGCTGTTTTAAAACTACCTGATACCCTGGGTTTGAGGAACCGAGGGGGAGAGATCAGTCACAGGACTTTGTTCTGGTCATGGTGTGGGTGGTAGTGGTGGTGATCCCTGTTGTTGTCGCTGTCGTATCATTCTGATCTCTCATTGCCATTGCACACTTAAACAATGCCTTGCTAATGGAGTGAGTTTTTCTGCTTTAAAGAACTTCTTAGTTCAGGAAAGAAGGGATTGAACATGTAGCTCAGATCTAGACTTCAAAATTCTGGCATGTTTTCCCCACCCTAGGACTAGAGCATAGGTGTTGACCATTACTAAAAACCAGACACATTGGCCTAGTTTCATGGATAGGTGAAAGGTCAGCTGTAGCTAGGTGAAGCCAGCTGTTTCATGGTATAGAGAAAGACTGTGTACAGGGCTCAGGGTAGGGAATCAGTGTCAGAGAACTGGAAAACTACCGCCAGTGCCCTGGTTTACTTCTGTGCCAGATGACCTGGGGTGCGCAAAGGCAGAGTCCCATGGGCAGTGGATGCTTGCTCGAAGTGTCTCTGTAAATGGTCAGATGATAGGTCACTTTAAAAAAAAATTGTTTATAGGAGGAACCCAATGTAACCGTCACCCAGCTTCAACAGTTATAACAAGTGAACAACCTTGTTTTCTCTATTAACAGTGTGCCTTCACCTCCCGCCTTTGTTTTTAAGGAAATCTCAGACATCTAATATTTCACAAGTAACTTTTGTTACTTTTGAAAACAGAAAATGCTGATACTTGAAATGTTTTTGAAATGTAGCATTTACGGTCTTAAACTGTTGAGCGTCAGCTGTTGGTGGGTTTGGGAGGGCCTGGTACTGAGAACTGCAGGCCTCAGTGTCACCGTCCTGTTGATTGGTCCTTGCTTGTGTGCTGGTTCAGTATTCCCAGATTTGTGGATTTTATGTACCAGTAAAATGAGAAAAATTGAGGACTAAATGGAAATGTCATATTTGACAGAACCTTTAAACTACTTTAAAATCTGTTCTGTGTTTTGAGGAAGATTGTATGTTTCATGTACTCTTAAGCAGCCTCCAGTCCCAGCTGGAGTTACCTTCAGCTACCCTACAGTTATGGTTCCTGCTAGGGCTGTGGTTACCTAAAACTGGTTGTAAGTGGTTTGCTTCTAAGCCTGTTTTCCCATTTTGTGGAACATAGGTGGTGGTGTGTCGAAAGTCCCTGTGCATCTAAACAAGACTACATTGTCGTTCTTTTTTTTTTTTTTTTTTTTTTTTTTTTTTTTTTTG